ATGACTACTCTGAAGATAGAACAAGGATCAGATGTCGAAAAAAAAAAAACCCTGCCATAGACTGGACCACTCAACATCAAATAACTTTAAAAACAACTACTCAGAAAACCCCTCCTGAAGTTTAAAAGGTGTCTCGCACTATTATTCCAAAACAAGGGAAGTTACCACACTTCCTCGACCTCTTTAACGGCCACTTCTTGACCAGTGTTCATCCCTAAATAACTGCTAAAACGAACTTGCTCCCACTTCACCCGCAATGCCAAAGTAGAGTACATTGCCGGCAGCATCTTACGGTGCTACTCCCAAGCTACCACTAAAAGTGACACACCTCAAATGTCTTTGTAAACGCTGATTGGGATGCGAACGAAACAAAACAAAAACCACTCCACGATCTCGAAAACCGGAAAAATCCTGAAAGCATTTTTTCCGGCCATTCCAATATGCCTTCCAAAAGGCAGTCTAAGAAGTCTATACTCACGGTCATAAGCATCAAAGCATCAAAATTGCGTCTCAGATAACAGTCCACCATTTGCTTTAATTAACAAGCACTTATACAACCCCAACAAACACTGTAGTGCAAAACTACCACAATGCTCAGCCTATGCTCTTTCAAATCCAGAAAAGCTAGACAGAAGACTCATCTTCTCAGAAAATCACGTGCAACATACGAGTAAGTCACGATAAGAACCAGTCACATCCAAATGCAATTCAAAGTTTAATTTTGTGACTCACTACAAACCAGTAACACCTTGGCCTACTATGAGCAGTCGCACAAATAAAAATAATCACCGTATTCAACTACTAGTGAAAACATTACCGCATTTGAAAAAGGGAAGCTGATTACCAAGCGGGGGCAGCCTAAATTCCTAATCCTACTTCTACTCAGCCACACTCTCATCGTTAAATTTCTTATCCGATAACCTACCATTGTCAATAAGTCTGCAAAGCCCACTAAACCTTTATTTCAGAAGCTATTCTAACTAGAAAAGAAAGTGAGGAAACCTCACAAAGTAGACCCCCGAAGAAACAGTGCGAAAGAGCAAAATCGTGCTCCAGTGCCTCGGAAAAAAATATAAAGCAAGCCGGACGACTTTATCAACCGTTTTCTTAATATACTGGTAGGGGAAATCCAATTTCACATCAAACAACCCGTTGAAGCCGAAAAAAACTCATAATAAGAGCCCTCAATATTTCAAATTCATCTGCAGACACAAACATTAAACTGACAGAAAAATACAATCAATATCCGTAATATTCGCCTCTAAGAAGTGTACAATCCGGCGGACATTTGCAGTTCTGAAGGAAGACAACAAACAGCCTATAGACAAATAAAGTGACTAAAATCGCGAACTGCATAGACCGATAGGAAGAATAAACAACAACAACTTGACACCCAACTTTATAAAGAAAACTCACATATAACAATTTTGATAAATTAAAACATAATGCACGCCATTCAAAAAAATACCGGCACATGTTCGACACCGAGAAGAAAACACGCGTCAGAAATCTGGATCTTCAGAACGAGCACTTCTTGCTGAAGGTGAAGACGGTGGCAGTGAAGCTTTCTAAAAACTTTTTCCTCATCAATCATAATAAGATCTCGAGACTCACAATTGCTTTATCTGTCCAGGAAAAGTTTTTACAACTCAACGTACCGTCCCACGGGGGCGGAAAAGTTCGTGTTTAGAAAGCTCAAATATGTCAGCTCGTTCTTCTTTACGATACTGCAGACAACGACGAATAAAATCCTAAAAGTGTCCGCATTTTAAAAATATTACGCTGTAGGTTACACTACCAGTTTTATACAGTTTACAATGAAACAAAGATAACTAACTTGAGCAACACTACTAACAACTGGTTTTGTTGGAAACGTTACTTCAGTCGCCTTTAGAATTGTGTTTTCTTCCAAAATCTTCTGTTGTGTCTGTTCATGACCAAATGGCTAAAATGAATTGCAATGGATCAATTGTCGCTTGAAAAATCCGCTGGAACAAGTAAAATATAACCCTGTACCTTGCGTCGACAACTCTACAATGAAAAAACCAGAAGGCGGAAAAGACTCACTCTTCGGCCATAAAGACACTGATAAAAAATGACGCCAACACTCCAAACGTCAACTTTGGAACTTATCTTTGGTGGATTACAACCAACAACAAAGGTCTCCGGCGGTAAATACCTGTAACCAACGGGAAATTTCTGATAATATTTCTGTACCAGCTCTCACTCCAAAGCTTAAGAAGGCCCTATCAAAACTCCTCATCCGCCACGACCTTGTGACACTCAAAAATAAGAAAAAAAATTTTAACATCAGATTGCCCCGCTTTAAATTAAAAAAAAGAACAACTAATTTTGAAAGCAGAGTAAAGCAATCTCATCTGAATACAACTTTGAAATGAGCTAAAAAAACTTCAAGAAGTCAAGGATTGGGAAATCTACACCCTTTCGCGTATATTTTTTAATTATGCCAATAAAAGGAAATGTCGAAAGAGTTTTTTCGACAGCTCCTGTAGCGAAACTTGATTTAGTCTTTCACTGCAATCAATGACGGTGAAAATGTATATCAAAATCGCCGCTCCGAGTTTAGATGATGAGATCTGAGTAACTAAATTATGAAGAAAAGAAAGGTTGAATTACGTACCAGTACGTCCCAGCACCCTGTGACGTTAATTCTATAGACCCCTCTTCAGCATCTTCCATAATTTTACTCAAACCAAAATCAGTGATCTTAATGGCGCCACTTGTTGTGCCAGACTGGAGAAGAATGTTTGCCGGCTTCAAATCATAATGAATTACTGGAGGCTTCTTTTCTGACAGATAACGCAGGGCAGAGACCACCTAGATTGAGTAACAGCATGAATAATAGCTATGAATTAGAAAATAATAGAAAAACTTTTTCCTCTAACGAATTTGCCTTAAAACTCGAAAATTGTGGAAAGAGTTTAAAAACAAATTTAAGCTACGAGGGACAAGGCGCAAATAAGCTATTTCAAGCCTATACGTGATCTAAAAATCATCTCAAAAAATATTTACTTTTCATTTAGTCAACATGAAAAAAGTAAAAAGAATTTAGGTCCCATTGGTTAAGATCAGTTAGAAGTAAAAACCCAACGAATTAAAAAATTATTCCAATCAAAATAGCTTTCATCTCTCCTGTCCAAGCGTTTTAAGTGAGAATACCAGCAGCATATACCTGCATGATTATTGAGCGTGCTTCTTTCTCAGGAATCTGTTTGTTTTGCTTCAAGTAAAAATCAAGATCATTTCCATCACAGTATTCAAGAACGGTGCAAAAGGAATGGTTATCAATTGTAAACAAGTCAAATAATCGAACGATCCGGGGATGATCAAGAGTCTTATGAATATCCTTTTCCCGCATTGCATGTTTCACGTAATTAGCCTTTAAAAAATAAAAGTTAGGCCCCCTTACTTCCTCCTTCAGATCCTTTTTTTTGCTTAAATGGCAAAGCAGATTTCGTGAAAAAAAGTAAGCGACAAAATCAAACAAACTTTTTTATCCTCTTTCCACTCCCGGTTAACATGGTGAATCTTGCAAGCCACATACTTGTTCTCGTCCAAATCGAATGCTCTCCACACCTCACTTGAAAATAAAAAAAGTTTAGAAATTCTGTAAGAATAGCAAACTATAAACCCAAGTTCGGCTTTAGTGTGACCCTTCAGGAACAATTTCTAAACCTTCTGTAAAACAGAGTTTTAAGCAATGCACTCTTCTGCATCAACCTGCAACTAATGCAGATGACCAACTGCTAAATAAAAAAATTTAATAGTAAAAAATTCTCTAGGCAAAAACTACCCTTACAGAAGATCAAAGTAAAAGAGAAATTACTTAATAAATGCACATTTTACTTCCAAATCCTGTCCTAAAGAGAGCTAAATCTCATTACTGCAAACTTGAAGAAGCAAAAATCACAATAACTTGGTATTAAATGCAGTAAAATAATGAGGGCAAAAAAAAAAAGCCAATTAATACCCATTACCTGAAGCCGCCTTTCCCAAGTAAAGAAAGTAAAAGATAGCGATTATTGAGCAACTCGTGATCTTTGAATCTGCTTGATTCTTCATATTGCACCCGTTTTAGTTCCCGTATATGTAAATTTCTTTCTCTTTCAAGGCGGTCCTTTTCGGCTATAAGTTCAGCCTCTTCCTTCTTCAAATGCTCCTGAAAAAGGAAAGCGACATCAGAAATCGGACCGTCAGTATTAAAACTCACATGAACAAATCACCAAGAGATAAATATAGCGCAGAAATAAGCATAACTTGTTAGGAACCACAAAACCTTTTAAAATAAAGAAACGGTGTCGCATTACCTTGCGAAGACGATATATTTCATCTTGCTCAATATATTCTTGATATGACAACTCTTTTGGTAACTCAGGGCGAGCGAAAAGGTCATCGCCGTCGTTAGACTTAGTGTTTACACCTGAAGTGGATGGCTGAGCTCCATCGTTACTCATGGATGCGCTCCTAGAACCATTAACACTAAAAATAATTAAGGATTTTGCACGTACTGTAAAATCGCGTCACGAACAACAGATAGTTTTCAACAATGAAACATTTGCTTAGAAAAAAACCCCACCAAACTCAAACTTTTTTTACAACTAGCGGGGGTCCTTTATAAACTACAAAGTTTCATTTCAATATAAAAATAACATATATTCAGGAACAAAAAGCACCTTTTAACCTCCCTAGCTGGATTCGCTTGCGGTTTCCGCTTCCTTAAATTTTGAGAGGCATTAATTATCTCATTCCGTTCGTTTACAATCCTCTGCTGCGTTTTACTTATTTCTTCAAAAGCCCATCCATCAGACCACATTTCACGGAACTCTTCCCTAAGCCTGGTGGGTTTAAACTGGCCAATCCGGAGACAATTTTCCATACACTTTGATTTCGCCTAAAGGGAGGAGCAGGTATGATAGGTTTCTCCGAAAAAAAAAATAAAGAAAAGTGAAGAAAAAATCACGCTATCCTGATTATCAAAAAAAGCACTGAATTTTACAAAGCACAACACCTGCTTCCTTTCCATCTTGCTTTGCTGTATTAGTAATCTTTTGATGGTTTCTTTACATGCTTCCACTTTACGATCCCTCTTAATAACTTGCTGTTTCAAGTCATCTAAGCTTCTCTGAAGGTCTTCAATCAGACGGTCTTTCTTATGAATTTCGCTACGCACCTCTTCCCCAGTCACAACGACATCATTAGTCTGAGACTGTAATTAAACGCAACCAGCTGTTTTCGTAGCGCAAAAACCCAGATCAAGCTTCAGATTTGACTTACCTCAGCATCAACTTTTGCCCGAGCAGGCTGAGGGGGACTTTGATTGGAATCACTTGAAATATAAGACAAGTGATTTGGTGTTAATCGGTGATTCTGCAGAGGGGAAAACGAAGTAGAGTTAAACTGAAAACAACCAATTAGAACCAACTGATGCAGTCAAATCAATGACAATGAAGCAAAACCCATGTTCTTCATGTTCCTCATGCTTTTCATAACTATAGGCCCAAACGATGTGAAAATGATGCAGAAGAACAGCATTATGAAATGACAAAAACTAAGTTATT